TGTGTGTGTGTGTGTGTGTGTGTATCCTATTTATGTCAGTACAAAATAAAAAATAATTGAAATAAATAAAATAAAATTGATAAAAATATTTTATTGGAATATAGTTATAAAATATAATTATCCCTTGCAAGAAGATTGTTTCAAAAGTGTTATCTCCCAATTCAAAATTTATTTGTTACCATTGATCAGAATGAAAAGTCATACACTGGTAACCTGTATGTACTTGTTAATGCACAAATCCCATCTAATTAACTGAGTACAATATATACAATAACCTTGATGTGCAATAATTTGCACACCTTTGGCTGTTAAAAGCAGTGTTGCAATGTTTTAAAAGTAAAAAAAATGTTCTTTTGAAATGATGTTTCTGGCCTACTATAGGCACATATAAATTTTCTTCATTGCTGGAAATGATAGATCTTGTCTGCATAAGACAGATCTACAATATTTTGCAAAATACTTATTGGTGGTTCTGTTTCATATGGTAGTATTTTTCAAAGAAAGCTACAAAGAATTAGGTGCAATCCCTGAAATGATACTTTAAAAAGTGACACTGTCAAGTATTTTTATGTTTACATTTTTGTAAGTTTTCCATTATCTGCATTCAAAAGTTGCTTACACTTTTTACTCTTGATAGATTAATAAATGTTGCATTCTCTATTTTTGCACTTCTCTGCTAATTTTTTCTAGCACTCAGAGAATTTCTGCTCTACAGTGAATATTATTTCTTAATTAGTTTAGCTCCCCCTCTGGCTGAAAATGGCATTTTACAGCATACAATAATAAAGAGGCATGAATCAACAGTGTCTAATTTTAACTCATTTATTTAATTTCTCAGACAGAGCAACTTAAAAAAAAACAAGTGGAATTAAAATGAACACAATTGCCATGCTGTGATAGTCTGAAAGGGAGATCATATTTTAAAAGTTACTTGACAGTGCCCCTTTCATTTAAAAATAAAACAAAAACAGACTTATGTTTATATTGCAGTGGATTTCAAGTTTTCTTGCATTTCATACAAAATATCATTATGACTGTGGATCTTTCCTACGACACTGAAAACATACTCAGGAAAAATAAGGCATGTCTTCCAAAAGCTAGATGTGCTTGGCACATTTGAACATACTGTTTTTAAAATACCAAATATGATCAAATATACCATTACTTTTATTCATCCGGCCATTTATTCAATCTGAACAAGATTCTTTCACTATTGCTTATTTTAATTGTGAGTTATTGTACCTTTATCAAGTACTGAGCACCTCAACTGGAAAAACATGAATTCAAATCAAGGTAATTTATGGTTCAAATCAAATAACATCAGATTGAACAGGTCCTAAGGTATCTAGTGTGCCTATGGGAGAAAAATATTCTTAGACTTGGGACACCAAATTCTGCTGGAACTGGACTAAGATATAATAAAAGGAGAATTATACAATTCACATGTCATCTTGTTTCTTCATATAAAGCAGGGATCTCCAACCTTGGCAACTTTATGACTTGTGGACTTCAACTCCCAGAATTCCTCAGCCAGTGCATGCAGTGCATTCTGGGAATTGAAGTTCTCAAGTCATAAAATTGCCAAGATTAGAGATCCCTGATATAAAGGACTGTATTCTCAGATACACAGACACGGAAAAGATTTTTGAACTTTGACTCTCAGGAAAGAACCATAAACAAAACATATATTTGTTGACTAAAATTAGCTTCAACATTGCCTGGAATCAGACAACAGATTTTTACAGGATCAAAAGTGGTAGATAAGAACTAACTGCCTACACTATGTATCTTCATTCTAGTTTTGCCTTTGATAAACATACATTTGTTATGTTATATAAATCTGGTCACAGGCAACAGTGGGGCAAATAAAATGTACATTCACACCCTGAGAAGCAAAGTACTCACTTAAAGTCTCTTTACAGGTCTTACTGTCTATGTCCACTCTAAAACAGAGTTGAGTATTTTGCTGTTACACAAGTTTGATTTAATTCAAGTGGAACAAGACTATCCCTCTCCCCATACAAAAAAGTTATTGCTAAAAACAATACTTCTGCCAATCTCTAGAAATAGACCTTAGACACTGTAGGAAATCGTGGAACTTACAAACAAAATAGCAAAAATTAAAACATTTAAGCTTTTCAACTACCCACAGCATGGAAAATGCAGTCCTTTCTACATCACAGTTCAAATACAGTATAAACCGCCTACAAATGCTCCAATTAAAACAAAGCAAATCTGACACTCAATGTTTTTTACTTGCGGCCGAAAAGTATCACACTGTGCACCATGGAAGCTTACTTTTTCCTTATGGAAAAGTGCATCTTAGAAAACAATTGTAATAAATTCCAGTGATTCTAAAAAAAATTCCTAACCACTATATTATTGCACATTTGGTGCTATATAGACACCATTAGCAAATATATTAAACTAGAAATAAAGGATACAACTGAAACAGACTTGTCTTTAATAACTTATAATACATCTCTAAAGAAGGGGATTATTTTTAACCCAAACATACATTTCTTTTGAACCATCATTGTCTTACCTAGACCCAATCTCTTACAATCAATAAGAACCAAAACACAGTTCTGTTCCTACAGGTAGAATCTCCTACATACAGTAGTTAAATCCACACTGATAAATTTGTTTAGAAAATGAATACACTCAGAAACTCAAGAATCAACAAGATTCTTGTTTTGTCTATTCTTCCTATAGAATTTCAACTATTTTTTTCTATGTTTTAAGGCATCATTTATTGTTTTTCACTTGCAATGATGATAGTCATGCAGCAGTTTAATGATAAAAATATATTAATATTTTACTATACAGCAGCAAGTAGTTAGTCAATTAAAAGCACAAACATTTTAAAGAAAAATCTGTAAAAGTATATTACTACAAATAATTGCAAGTTGGAGAACACTTCCAGAAAGGTTAGTATTCTCACAGACTGTTTTTATACTTTACAGCTTTAATATATATCACACGAAGTACATAATTATAACTGAAGGTTTGCACACTTGGGGGAGGAGTCAATACTACATGAATAAAGTATGTAGCCAGTAATAACTAGCACCACAGCTACATGAAAATTTCTTTACAACACATCAACTTGGCTTTTACTTTTAAAGGAAATTCAAATCCATGGCTCAGTAGGATTACACCATAATTATGTTGAACTGATGTCTACGACAGGCCTACACAAGTTAGTTAGCACTAGCATAAACTGGAGTTTTGATTTGAGACTCTGAACAAATTAAAAGAATAGTGCTAGTGGCCACACAAAAAACCCTTACCACCTGTTGTTGAAAAAAAAGGCATACTGAAAATTGCTGCATGTTAAAGTACTTTAAGTACACTTCATAAAAATATATATATTATGAACAATACAATTACATCTCATATACACAACAATGACAAGATACCTACTTAGTTGTAAACCAAACAGGTGCAGAAAAATATGGGAGATCATTTCTCTCTCTCTCTTTTTACTATTTGAATAACTTTGGTTCAAACCATAAAAATCACAAGTTAGCAAATTTCATTTAAATGCCTTTTTAATATTTTTCTTAATGTTCACAGAAGTTTCACTGACCATTTTATATGCTTAAGGTCCAGATGCAATGCATATTGTATAAAAGAGAGCACTTATTGTTTACCTTGCATGAATTAAACCTACGTACCTTTTAACTCTACAGACTTCTGCATAACATTTAGACAAAGCTCAGACACACAGCATGCCTAGCCCTCATATATATATACACATCTCTAATCACAGGTATATAGGGTGTCAAATATACTATAATAACCTCCATGAAAGGTTTTGAAATTTGGTAACAAAATGAGAAGAAAAACTAAAAATATTATTTTACGTGTTCTAAAATATCTCTTTTTTGTGCTAAAGTCAAATGTTAGCTCAACATGAAAAGGACATTTTCTCTTTTTTAATATAATTCAGCAATATTTTAATCTTGACCATTTTTGCAAACACTTTTTTTTTAATAATAATAGCTTAAACGTGTACAAAAGTTCTTGGTTAATTAGGGAAATAAACACTCAGTTCTTTATATCTTTTTAATCAAGTAGGAAACACAGTTCATCTTATATAATGTTATTACTTTTTTTGTAATTTTTTGTTTTGTTTGTTTTTAGCAGCTGCTTACTGTTTTATACGATGAGCAAGAGTGGAAGGAACAATCCAGCGATGGGGTGGAGAGAAAGAAGTTGCTTGCTCGGCTGTCAGTTTTGGTGGTGGATAGGTAGATGGTGCTCCCCTTGGAGTTATAACAGGTATATTTAACGGTATGCATTATTTTCGGCTTGTGGATGTTGATTTTCTCTCTCTTTCTCTCCCTTACAGTATAAAGTCTTTCTCTGTGTGTTGTTGTCATTATTACCAGTGTCTCTGTGCAGCAGGGCAGGGAGGAGGCAGCCAAACGGGAAGGAGGGATGTGGAGAGGAGGGAGGAAAGATAGATGGAGATCAATCCTCCTCTGGCTCCTCCGCCTGCAGCAAGGCTCCGGGCGGGCCAGTGGCGATAGCGGTGCTGCTGCTGATTTCGCTCTCTGGCTGCTGCTCTGTTCCGCCGGAGGAGGAGGAGGATGCGGCGGCGGCGGCGGCCCGCTTGTCTCTCTGCTTCTCCTGGATCTTCTTCATCTCGTCCGAGTACTTGCAGAAAGTGTGTCCGAATTTGGCCCACACCTTGTAAGGGACGGTGATGGAGTTGCGGTAGGTGGGCTTGACCTCGCTCACCCGCATGAAAACGCCGTACTTGTTGGAGCCCACGTCGAAAAAGAACCGCTTGTTATCCACCGTCAAGGAGGTGCCCTCGGGCAGCTCGGCCGGCTCCTCCTCCACGCCGTAGTCGTCGATGAGCTTGGCCAAGGCGTCGCGGAACTCGATCAACCCTTGCGCTGGCAAGGCGATGGTCTGGCCCTGTGTAGAGCCGAGGCCTGGGCCGCGGTTGACTGTCTGGCGGATGCGCAGGAATCGCCCGCGCTGGTTCTCCTTCAAATCCATGTAATACTTGCGGTTCTCGCGCACCAGGAATTCGCTTTTCAGGGCCCGCCGGGGCTCGTCCGCGGCCTGCGCCAGCTCCGGCGGTTGGCTGGGCCCCAGCTGCGCGTAGTGCTCGATGAAGTCGCCCAGATAATCGCGGAATTCCACCGCCACTGACATCGAGAGCGTCAGCCGGCTCTTGCTGCCTCCCGCACCCACCTCCGCGATCTTCAGGAAGCGGCCCTTCGCGTTCTGCTTGACGTCCAAGTAGAAGCGCTTGTTCTGGATGTCCACCCGCTTGGAGGCCAGCTCCTGCGTCTCGTGCTGGAGGCCAACCCCGCCGCCGCCGCCGCTACTGCCGGGCCCGCCACCGCCGCCAGGGCCCGAGCCCGGCGCCCCGCCACCGCCGCCGCCCTGCTCGCTGCCGCTGTCTCTATCCGCCATGATGCCTTCGGGCTACCCGACGCCCGCCTGCCTGCCTGCGCCCCCCCCCGGCCGCCGCCGCCGCCGCCTCCTCCTCCGCCGCCGCCGCCCGTCGCCGCTACTGCTCCTGCCGCCGCCGCCGCTCCAACCCCCTCCGCAGCCACCAGCAGCAGCCGGCCGCTCTCGCGAGATCTGTGGAGGAGACAGAAAGAGAGAGAGCGGCTAACATGGCAGAGAGGGAAGCGCGCGACTGGGCAGAGGAACGGGGAGAGGAGGAGGAGGAGGAGAGCGCGAGAGCGCGAGGACCAAGAGAGGTGCCCGGGGATCGGAGACGGCAGCGCCTCGCCGGGTTAGACTGGGCGAGGGCAGGAGGCGCTCGCTTCTTGGCACTCAGGCCCCACCCACCCGTCCTCCGCCCGGCTATCGCTCCTTCTTCTCTTCGTCCGCGCTGCTGCCGCCGCCGCCGCCCGTTAGCAATCGGCCAGGCCCCGCACCCGCCCTCGCGCTGCGCCAGGCCAGGGACACAGACTCCGCCCGGCCCCAGCTTGCGCGCGTTTGGATTCCCCCCCCTCCTTCCTCACGCTCACCCCGACTGAGGCCGTCACCGACTCTGTCGCCGCCGCCGCCGCCGCCTCTCCTTCGGGAGAGATGGACCCGGTGGGGGGAGGAGGGCGGTCTGCTATTAAACGCGAATACGCGTCCGCCTCGCCAGAGTAACTGTCTTTCCTCTCCCCCGTTTTAGAAGTCTGCGTGTGCCTCAGGTCTGTCTGCGGACCCAAACAGGACAGAGAAAGAAGCTCCCCCTGCGTCCTCCTCATCCCGCCTCTTGGCCCATTAAGTAGACCCTTCCGTCGCCCGCCGTCCCCAAGGAGGAATTGCACCCGCGCCCTTCGCCTGTCTGCAGGAGGCGAAGTGTTCAAGCGAAGAGAGAGCCCGGAATAGTCCGCACCTCGCAAGAGGCAACCGACGATCCCACTACCTCTTCCTTGACGCCAACTCAATCCTTTGAAAGTATAAATCAATGCCACCCTCCTCCGACGTGTCGGGGTCATTCCTACATAGGACAGCTCATTCCTTTTTGAAATTCGCACCATTTTCCCCGTCTGAAGCTCCCCAATTGAAAACTGCATGACTTCAAAGGCCAGCTTCTAGGATGCTTTCCAGGGCTTCATAATAGAGCAACCTTTACCTGCAGGATTACATTGTTATACAAAGAATTTAGAAAATGTCCCTCTCAGCTCTTAAGTGCTTTGGTAGGCCTGTCAAACTCTAAAACCTTTCCAGGTACCTTAACCTTGCAAAATGGGGAAAGAGCCTGTGCTTACCTGCCTTACTGAATGCATGAGTTTGGAGGGATATTTCTTTTTGAGGAAGGCCGTTTTGTGTGCAAATCATGCTGTCCTCCCAGCAGAGGGTCCAAGCAGTTTCCAGAACAGAATAGCCTTTCCGGATTAAATCAAAGATCCATTCTCTCCTGCTACTTTTCTCAAAGTGATCTGCAGTGCTCTCCTTGTCAAAAGTTGAACAGTAAAGGGTGTTGAGTTAGATGGGAGTTCAGCCTAGCCTAATCCTTAGATGTTTACTGCCTGAGATGTGAAAACAACAAATCTTCAGTTACAGTAAAGTCTTGCTGCTCATAATGTTACAATTTCTAAATAAAATTTTCTTTTCTTCAAGCTAAATCCTGGAACTTATTTAGCTTTTCTTAATAGGGAATTTTACCTTACTTCTTCAGTTGTGCTCAAGTTCAGGGCTAAAATGAACACAGCCTCTATGAAACACTGTGAAGGAATAAAGAAACTAATGACCTGAAACCAGAATGTCTGCAGTAAAATGGAATAGATTGTATGCATCAAAGCATCTTTACTGGGGAAATTGCAATTTCTATTAACTTGAGGCAGAAAAATGCCACAATCTTTGCTATTTTGCACTTTATGATACAATATATTATTGAGGATATAAGCTGCATAATAGTTCTGCGTGCATATCCACAATAGTTCTGAGTGCATCTTGAAAGACAAGTTTCTTTTCCTGTGACGACACCAGAACCAGTTCATTGAAACAAAAGCAGTACCACTGGAACCACACACAGGCTTTCCAGGCCTTGCTTTCCTTTTTTCTTCTCCTAGATTCTTTCTCTGCCATGAGAAAGTTTGAGAGGCAATCTCAGCCAAGTCAGCCTTTGATTTAGTATCTACAAACTGCATATTCTAAACCGTCCATGCTGGAGAGCACCCATTTTCATCAAGGATAACTCTTTTAAGTATTTGGAAGCTGCACTACTACTAGAAAACAAAGAAAACGAATACCCGAAATCGTTTTTCCAGACGGTTTTAAGTAAGAGTAACCAACAGGCTATTTCTCACGGGCATTCGACTCCTGGAAGGTTGAAAGCTGGCATCTGCTAGGTCCAAAACTAGAGGGAAACGCTAACTCTAGCGCCTCAATAGTTCGGACTCAGGCCGTTCTTGCAGCTCCGACGATGCACAATGTCTTCCCACCCTGCCGTTCGCTCCCGGGTTCAGCTGCGGTGGAAGAACGATTCCTGGAGCTTGCGCTACAACCTGACATCCAGGAACGCAGTGAAAGCCGCGGGCTGCGCTAAACTAACTCGCCCATTCCCTCTTGGAGCTGGGCGGCGTGACCCGCCTGAGCGGAAGGGCTTTTTACCCGCGAGGATCATGCTGAGAGTGGGGAGAGCTGTCTTACGAGCAAGCCGGGAAGAAGCTGAGATCCACCCGGGAGGCCCCTTCCTCCTATATTGCTACGCATTCCCCGCAAGGAAAACCCGGAACGTCTTCTTATCGGTAGTACCTCCAGCAATGTCACCTAAAGGTGGGCTGGGCAGGTTTGACTGGCTATCTTTATCACCGAAAATTTATCTGTTGAAATAGGTTGGATATTTAACGCTTCTTTATTTTTTAGCTATCAGGATTTATTCTCCAATTACAATAATCAGTTAACTAGCAAACCAAGCCGCACTGCCTTTCTCTGTAAGGCAATGTGGAAAGGCATTTAAAAACAGGTCCGGTTAAGCTTAGATATATTAAGATACAGATGCTAACCTCTCAGACTACCTAATTATCAAATTACCTTTGATAACCAAGGAGGCAACAGATTATAAAATCCCGCTTGGGCTGGGAGAGAACCATTACTGAACTAGGAAGGCATGCAGCTCATTTTTAAAATCTACTGTATTAAAGTTCCCAATAATTATACAATAAAAATTAAGAAATATTCTATTGGCAATTTGGCAAATCTAACTAACCATCTTGGATGGATGAAATTTATTTTTTATGCTTCATATTACACCTGTTCTAAAAATATATTTCAACGGATACCCAATATATAATGGTATTCTGAAAGGTATTTTGATTCTAATAAATACTAGTCTACATAACTTAAGTTATGTAAATTTAGTTTTGTTTTTTTTCAGAAATAGAATTGCATTTTAACAGCCTTGCTTAAAAAGTTTATTTCTCATAAGTTGAATCCCAGATTGTGAGCATGACAACAGATAATTGTATAAACCAAATAAAGAACTACTTCAAATATTTTCCACTACTAAAAGCATAAAGACTTTTCAGATTTAAGATGTGCTTCATAATATAAAATAGTATGTGCTTCATAAAATAAAATAGTTAAAGCTATTTGAAATACTTTTAAAATACAATACAAATATTTGTTTAGAAAGTATTTGATTGTATATATTATTTAGCTTTTTCAGTTTGTTCAACAAAGTGCCAAAATTATTGTTTTATGATGATATTCAGTCTTGTCTAAACTGGTCTGTATTTTAGAACAAAATGGACAGTTATTATCCTATAATTCCTTGCTAACAATTTATTTTAAAAAATCAATGAATTTAATATGACCAGAAACTATTTATTCTGATATACATTTTCTAACTCCTATCTCTTCTATGAAAAAAGTAATGAAAAATATTTCAACCACACGAAGTTTCTTTTGTTTTTTGTTAAATAAGCATTAAAAATAGTTATTAATTTAATTGCAAAAGTTCTAGCTTTATTCTTAAAAAAGGGAATGTAAATAGTAAGTCACATACACAAGGGATGTGATATATTTAACAAATAAAACAAAATGTAGGGTAATAAAACTTCATCACATAACCTTAATCACAATCTTTTGTCATCATTGGTATCTAAATATGACTTCAATTACTAAGAACATTTTTAAATTAATAAAAACAAAACATTACTATAAAGACATATGTTTATAACAACCTAACTCATTTATTTGGAGATTGCTTACTATCTTAAAACATGGTCTCACAAACACTTTTGAAGCTTCAATAAAATTGAGGAATTTTATTTTTCCTTCTTAAAGGAAGTTTGTTCGATTGTGGCTCTGCAGAAATTAAAATAAAGCATTCATAAAGCACCCATATCCAAAGTGAAAATGAGATCAACTTTAATATATAATTATAACTTAGTTCTATACATAGTATAAAATCTTACTTTTGCCACAATAAACTAACAATCAAAGTGCAGTTTTAAAAACAGGAAGCCTGTATGATATTGAACCATTCCTAAAATGCTGTAGAAAGTTGTACAACATTAAATTGCTAAAGCCTTAAAATGTATGTATGTAAGATGCATGGCTTCTAAAATTTTAGAAATCTCTGGCATTGATACCATACATTGTAAAAATATGAAGTGTACAATTATTTCCAATGTAGTTAGATTCTACAGATGAATTTAAATGGATATTTCAGACCCCATAAGAAAAAGAGTTAATAAAAATAGAAATTTGAAGCCACTGCAGAGGATTAAAATTTCTGAAGTATTATAATATAAAGCATTTCATTTTATTCAAATTAAACTGTTTATTTCTTTGTAAAAGCAATTTTTAAAGATGTATTTTTGTCAAAACCTCAAAATGTTGTTTCTTGTTGGCTATTAACATTTCTATTAATCTTTTGATATAATTACAGATGGAGGTAATATATCTGATCATATTACTCATTTATTATTAACTATAATATTTGCAACAAAGAGAAGCATGTTTATATTGAAATGAAAAAAATAAAATAAAAAACCTCTC